TCTTTTCCCAGGATGTCCATAAATATATTGGAAGCAGGCCACACCCCTAGGGAAACTCCCTTTCAATGGATTGGCTGCTCAAAACATATGCATCCGATACCATCATGGGAATAACCCACATCAGTTTCTTAAACCACACAGAATTGTGGTCCAGCCAAGTGGACACATAACTCCAACTATCACAGTCCCCTCCCCCCCATAAGGTGTCATGAGATGTGCACATATGCTCAAAGAGCCCTTGGACAGAAGCCGTTGGTCCCGGTGGCATTTTCTCTTAGCACAGCTAACTCCCAGCACATCATGCTTGTGTCAGCAGCAATCAGAGTCCTACTGAAGGCTGATGGCAGAGGAAAGTGTTGGAAACCCTGCCGCTTCTTGTGCTGCACCCCACTCCTGCCCTTCCTCTGGTGAGACCACCCCCATTCTGTGATGAAGGCCAGTACTGCAGGAGCCCCTTTCTCACCTCTCCACAGCATCTTCTGCTAGAGTAGTCCCATGCACTCACTCCCTGACAGCTTTCTTTTTTTTTTTTTTTTCAAATCTTATAAATGTATGACAGCATTTTCATACATGTAATTTAGTGGCATCAGTTACATTAGTCATGTAGTGCAACCATGGTCAGTAATCATTGCGATAACACACATTTTCAGTGGGCATTTTCCTCCCAACAGTGGAAATGTGCATTAAAGCATTTCTCGCTTTCAGTTGTTGCCATGGAACCAAGGAGGAGGAGGCATCTTCTGAGCACAGTGTTTCTGTAGGAGGAGTGTCACGGGTCAGCCCTCCACAGCCAGGGCTGTCAACCCAGAAGCCTCATCTCCGTGAGAGGTGTGTTTCAGTCTTGTGGCATTTTGCATCTGGCTGAGCACAAAGCAACAAACCCTAGGCAGAAGCCATGCTTGGGTGGGGTGTATATGAGAGCCACCTGGCTCAGTGAAAACCTTCCCCAGGAGCAGAAGCAGAAGGTGGAGAGTAACCCTTCCGGAGGGATGTAGATGGGGCATTGTTTGTAGACAGCTGCAGGTTCCAAGTGTCAGGGCAGCCCTTTATCTGTGGGGAGGTTAGGAAGGACTACCTAGTTTCCTCAGGCCTTCTCCAGCACCAGGCCGTGTGCAGTGGTGAGAAGCCTCTGAGTAGCCTAGAGTATGTGGAGCCTTTTTACCATGGGAAGTGTCATTATGTGAATGTGGGCAAGTTTTTAGAGGCAAACAGACACTCATTCAGCACCAGAGTATCTCACTGGAGAAGAGCTTTTTGAGGGTAGCAAATGTGGGAAGGCCATCGGTTGCAAGTACAGACTTGTTCAGGGGCAGAGACTTCGCACGGGAGGAAGGCACTATGAGTGGTGAATATGGAAAAATCTTTAGCCATAGTTCCAACCTTATTGCACCCGAGAGAATTCACACTGGAGAAAATCTTTTGAGTACAGTCATTGTGGGAAATGTTTTTGCAAAAATGGCCAACTAACTGAACACAAGAAGATTCACACTGGAGAAAGGCCTTTCAAATGTAGTGAGTGTGGTAAGTCCTTCAGCAGAAGTGGCAACCTTAGTAGACATAGGAGAGTTTACATTGGAGTTAGGCCATAATACAGATGTGGTGAATGTGGGAAATTCTTTAGCCGAAGTTATAGTCTTGTTCAACATCAGGGAATCCACACAGCAGCAGATCCTTATGAATGTGGAGAATGTGGGAAATCATTGCATGATCCCTCCAACCTCGTTCAACATCAAAGAATCCACGCTGGAGAAAGACCATGAGTGCAGTGAGTGTGGGAAGTTACTTAGGAATAACTCCCATCTTATTGCACATAAAATAATTCATACTGGAGAAAGGCCTTATGAGTGCAGTGAATGTGGGAAGTCCTTTAGCCGAAGTTCCACTCTTATTCAAGACAGGAGAATTCACACAGGAGCAAATCCTTATGAGTGTGGGGAATGTGGGAAGTCACTGTGTAATCATCCAGCCTTGTTGAGCATTGGAGAGTTCACACTAGACAGAGGCCTGTAAGTGCAATGAGTGTGGGAGTTCTTTAGCCAGAGCTCCGCCTTCACTCAACATCAGAGAGTCCACACTGGAGAACGGCCTGATGAGTGCAGCGAATGTGGGAAGCTGTTCAGCAGTAACTCCACCCTCACAACATCAGAGAGTCCATACAGGAAAAGGGCCTTATGAGTGCAGCGAATGTGGGAAGCTGTTTAGGGATAGATCTCACCTTCGAGGACACAAGAGAATTCACGCAGGGGAAAGGCCTTATGAGTGCCGTGAACGTGGGAAGTCCTGCAGTCATAGCTCCAGCCTTATTCAACACCAGAGAATTCATACAGTAACAAATCCTTATGCATGTGGTGAATGTGGGAAATCATTTAAAGATCGTGCCAATCTAATTAGTCATCAGAGAGTCTACACTGGAGAAAGAAAGGCCTTATGAATGCCCAGAATTTGGGAAGCGATTTTGGAATAGATCCTACCTGATTTTACAAAAGAGAATTCACACTGGAGAAAGGCCTTATGCGTGCAGTGAATGTGCCAAGTCCTTTAGCAACAGTTCCAGCCTTAATATGCACAAGAGAATTCACACCAGAGAAAGGCCTTATAACTGCAGTGAATGTGGGAAGTCTTTTAGTCAAAGCTCCACCCTTACTCAACACCAGAGAATTCACAAAGGAACATACCCTTACACATGTGGTGAATGTGGAAAATCATTTAACAATCACTACAGCCTAATTAATCATTGGAGGGTCCACACTGGAGAAAGGCCTTATGGGTGCAGTGAATGTGGGAAGCTGTTTAGGAATAGCTCCCATCTTACTGTACACAAGAGAATTCACACTGGAGAAAGGCCTTATGAGTGCATTGAATGTGGTAAATACTTTCAACAAAAGTGTAAACTTACAAAACACAAGCACGTTCACACTAAAGAAAGACTTCAAGAGTGAATTGAATGGGAATGGCTTGGCAGTAGCTCCCACATTATTGAAAACTCAACTTGAGAAGAGTCTTATGAATATAGTGAATGTGGTAAAGCCGTTAGCAGAGATTGCAGCCTTGCTGATCATAGGAGAGTTCTCATTGCGGGTGGTAGTATGTGTATGGAAAATTCCTTAGCTCAACCTCAACAGTAGCAGCTTTACAGGAACAAGGGCTTATGAGTGATGAGTGGGAGACAGTTTTTACCCAAAGCTCTAACCTCATTAAGCACTGAACATTTCACACCAGAGAAAGTCCTCACAGAACTGGTGGATGTAGGAAAACCTTCAGCCCAAGGAAGGCCTTGCTCACGCAGGGAATACACTAGCTGTTTATTTACTATAACCGCTCTACAGGGCCTTTGCTAGGGAGCCATGTGCCTGAAGAGGTGATGAGTTGCACTGCCTGTGATACACTTGACAGGAGCCCTACCAGAGTTCTGTCACTGCCCGTTTCTGTGGCAGAAGCCCTGTCATTGCTGCTGTCTTGCAGATTACCACTGGGTGACTCAGTTACCCCAGAGTGCTCAGGCAAAGCAAACAGGTGTGTTTTCTCCCACTGCCTGGAGAAAATCCTGACTTAGCCATTACCTTCTCTGACTGCTTACAGCACCGACCTGCCTGATGTTTGCTCTGAGCACCTGGTCTGGGTTCTGCTGGCAGCTTGTACAAGTTTCCCTTGTTGGCAACATCCTTGGTCTCCTGTGATGCTCAGCATTAGCTCTTCCTGTGTTTCAGTTCATCAAGCAGCAACATCTACCTCCTGTTCTTTTTGTTTACAAAACAACAATGAACTATTGTTGAAATCATCTTTTTTGTCAGGGCTTTCTAGAGGAACAAACCTAATAACATAGACACACACACACACATGCACATTTTTAATTAAAAGATTTAGTAAGGTCTCATTGATACACAATATATAGTACATATTCAAACTGTACAATTTGATAAATATTTGACTATGTTTCCCATCCACATGTAGCCACCAGCACAGGATAATGACCTTGGCCACCACTCAAACATTTCCTTGAGCAACTGTGATCTGGCCTGCCTGCAGCTTGCTTCTCACCTCTTTACAGGTGGCCACAGTTCAGCTATTTGTCATTAGAGACCAATTTGCATTTCCTAGAATTTTGTATAAATGAAATCATGTATTAGGTACTCTTTTTTAGTTATTTTCTCAGCAAAATTATTTAAAAAATTATCCACGTAGAAAAAGGTACCAATGGTTTGTTGCTCCTTATTTGTGGAGTATTCTGTTGTGGGACTGGTACACACTTGTTTAATTATTTCACCTTTTCATGGCTGTTTGAGTTGTTTACAGATTGAGCTTTTAAAAATAAAGCTGCTATGAACATTCAAGTACAATACTTTGTATGGATCTATGCTTTCATTTTTCTTGAAGTGAAGAAGTGGAATGGTGGGGCCATATGGCAGGTGTACATTTGATTTGATTTAAATTTTTTTCTATAATAATTGCAATATGTTTGTAACACCTTGAATTACTAACAGTAGTAAGTGAGATCTCTGATTGATCCATGTCCTGGCCAAATGGTAATAGGGTACATCTTTTTAAATGTAGAATTCTAATAGCACGGTAGTGGTGTCGCCTTGTACTTTGATTTGCATTTTCCTAATAAACAATGATATGGAGTATCATCAGTTCATGTGATTATTTGTCACCCATGTATCTTTTTCAGGAAAATGTCCAAATCTTTTGCCCATTTTAGAATTGAGTTGTTTTATTAGTGAGTTTTGATAGTTCTTCTTATATTCTGGATTCCAGTCTTTTCTCAGATAATGCAACGTCTAAGTATTTTTAAAGTCCAATTTCTCACTTAGATTCATCTGGTACTGTGCTGTTTTGCCTTAGAAATTGTTGCAAAGCCCAAGGCTACACAGATACTTCCTATATGTTCTAGTAGACATTTTATTGTTTGAAGGTTGAAGTTAGATCGATGATTCATTTTGAGTTAATTATTTTGTATACATATATACATCCCACGCCACCACTTGTCCATCAGTTTGTCATACTGTGGTGGTTTGCATGTTGATGTTAGGTTGAAGGCTATGCCAATGGTATTTCAAATACCAGCAGAGTCACCCATGTTGGACAGGTTTCAGTGGAGCTTCTAGACTAAGACAGACTTGGAAGGAGGAAGGGGCCATCCACTTCTCAAATAATTGTTGTTGTTGTTGTTATTTGCCGTCGAGTCACCCCCGACTCATAGCGACCCCTCCTTGGGTTTCCGAGGCAGTATCACTACGGAAGTAGGATTGCCCAACCTTCCTTCCGAGGAGTGGCTG